ATCAGAAACATTTGGCATTTGTTACAGTAAAAAAAGAAACAATAACACACAGTTATTGAGAATTTGCTATTTCTCCAGTTATCAGCAAAGCAGCTCAAAACAAAATATTCTCTTTGATGCTCATGGTTATTCCATACGTTAAAGATGTTCTTATTCTCATTTTCCTGATGAAATTTAGGCACAGAGATTGACTTTTCCAAAGTCACAAAGCTGTAAATGGTAGAGTCAGGAATTAAAGAGTCAGGATGTCTCACTCTAAGCCTGTGTTGGCATAGTGTCTCAGGATATAGTGCCTCCTTAGGTTATTCTGATACGCAACAGTAGGAAATACGGATTGCGTGATTTAGTGTGTATATGTGTATACACATTTGGTGGAGTATTACGCTGCTGTGAAATATATCAGTAATGTTTCAAGATTTGCAAAAAAGGGCTTGTGATAATATTAGAACAGTAGGAACTGGTATATGCAGAAGAAATCTCAAGTATGTGCAATGTTACTGAAAAACTCCTGGAAGGGAATATGCCAGAATGTTAAGTCCTGTTCTCTCATGGCAGAATCCCTATACATACAATACATACAATTAAACAAAACCTTTTTTTTTTTGTATGTTTTAATTTTCTAGAATGAATATGTTTTATCATTGGGGAAACCCTTGTTACTTTACGTATGGGGTATGACTATATAGTAACTCAGCACCTGGAGTTAATTTCTTTGTGGAATACCATGAAAAATCATTGGAAGTTGGTGAAACACCCTTGTCTAGCCTTTTTTTGGGGGGGTGGGGAGTGAGGCAGAGGGAAAGAGAGAATCTTAAGCAGGCTGCATGCCCAGCCCGATGTGGGGCTTTATCTCACAACCCTGAGATCATCACCTGAGCCCAAGTCCAGAGTCGGGACACTTAACCGACTGAGGCCACCTAGGCGCCTCAAGCCTGATTAATACTAGAGTTTGCAAAACACACTCAAAATACTCGGAATCTTCCCAGGCCCCACCAGGATCTTGTTTTTCATTTTTATGTACTTGTTCATTACTAAAGCCAGAGCCAGGAACCTACCTCTTAAGATACGACTTCATTATAGACATGTGGAGGCTGACATTTTCATTAAGCTAATCTTGTCATGTTTCAAAGTAGACCTCTGAGAAAAAGGTCTCTATCTGATCTTTGTAGTTGAATGTCCCATTCTCATCTTAATCAAAATAGCAAGTGACATTTCTGCAATCCTGTTAGTTTTTTTGCCTCAGTAAGTAAGAACCTACCCATCCAACAGAGGCACAGTTTTTATCATTCCAGTGCATATTTTAGCTAACAAAATAAATATATATTTTTAATCATTGAACCGTTTGCTTTGTATAAAGTGTTATTATTATCCTCTTTAGCTTGGGGAATTAAGAGTTTTGCCATCTAAGTTCAGACTATGCTTTGTAACTTCTGAGTCTTTTCTTCCTGTAAAATAGACATAACTAAACCTATTTTGCTCTTTTTTTTTTTTTTTTAAAGATTTTTATTTATTTGTTTGAGAGAGAGAGAGAGAGCACAAACAGGGGGAGCAGCAGGCAGAGGGAGATGCAGGCTCCCCACTGGGCAAGGAGCCCTATGCGGGACTTGATCCCAGGACCCTGGAATCATGACCCGAGCCGAAGGCAGACACTTAACCAACTGAGCCACCTGGGCATCCCTATTCTGCTCTTTCTTGGATTGTTGTGAGGATCAAATGAAATAGAATGGCTTTGCAATGTTTGTAAACCGTATGGCAGTTAGAAATATTTACAAATTAAGGGAAAAATGTAAAAAATTTTGTATGTTTTATCTGGGTAGCACTATAGGAAGATTTGTTTTCTGTGGGCTCAGATTTTGTTTTTTTTTTAGTAGGTGTATCAGTCTTTTTTGTTCTTATTTGACCATCTTTTGTGTGTATATCTCTATATAAAATCTCTTTTTGTGCTGTGTAAGTTGGTATAGCCATTATGGAAAACAGTATGGAGGTTCCTCAAAAAATTAAAAAGAGAACTACCAGCAGTCCTACTTCTGGGTATATATCCAAAGGAAATGAAATCACTATCTTGGAGAGAGATCTGCACCCTTGTATTCATTGCAGCATTATTTACAATAGCTGAGAAATGGGAACAACTTTATTTTTTAAATTTTTATTAATTATTTTAAGATTTTATTTATTTATTTGACAGAGAGATCGAGAGCACAAGTAGGCAGAGCAGCAAGCAGAGGGAGAGGGAGAACTAGGCTCTCTGCTGAGCAGGGGTCCCGACGTGGGGCTCGATCCCAGGACCTTGGGATCATGACCGGAGCTGAAGGCAGATACTTAACCGACTGAGCCACCCAGGCTCCCTTGGAAACAACTTTAGTGTCTAACAACAGATGATCAGATAAAGAAAATTACTATATGTATGCAATGGAATATTATTCATCCATAAACAAAGAAGGAAATCTGCCATAGTACACTAGCTGTATAGTGAAACAAGTCAGAGAAAGACAAATACTGCAGATTACCCTTAAAAATCCACGCCCCCCAATCATTCTCCATTGCATTTAAAGAGACATAGAGTAAGATAACATCAAAATGTCTAATGTACAATCCAGAATCACTTGACAAATGAAGAACTGGGAAGATCTCAAGAACTCATAAGGAAAAGACAACCCACACACAATAAACCCAAGATGACGAAGATGTTGGAATTATCAGACAAAGACTTTATTAAAAGATTTTATTTGTCAGAGAGAAAGAGCGCATGCGTGCGTACAAGCAGGGGGAGTGGCAGGCAGAGGGAAAAGAAGCAGGCTCCCTGCCAAGCAAGGAGGCCGATGTGGGACTCGATCTCAGGACTCTGGGATCATGACCTGAGCCGAAGGCAGACGCTTAACCAACTGAGCCACCCAGCGTCCCCAGAGAAAGACTTTAAAGCAACTATTAAAACTATGCTTCAAGGGCGCCCGGGTGGCTCGGTCGTTAAGCGTCTGCCTTCGGCTCGGGTCATGATCCCAGGGTCCTGGGATTGAGCCCCGCATCGGGCTCCCTGCTCCGTGGGAAGCCTGCTTCTCCCTCTCCCACTCCCCCTGCTCGTGTTCCCTCTCTCGCTGTGTCGCTCTCTGTCAAATAAATAAAATCTTAAAAACAAAAAACAAAAGATTAAAACTATGCTTCAAGAAGTCAAGTTTAAATTCACTGGAGAATGGTGGGGGGAGGCAGTTTTTTTAAAGAAGGCATTTGACTTTGTTAGGTTCAGATCACAACTTGACCCAATCTTCTCTTCACTAAAATTCCAATGTCTAGTTTTCAAAGCCTTTGCAGAGCTGTTCTGATGTGTTCTGCACCACCTAGTGGTGCAAATTAACCACCTAGTGGCTAATTTGGGAAGCTGATAGTATGATTAGTGTCAGATACAGATATGCATAGGTCTGGAGTGACCCCAGGAGTGTTTATAGATCTTCGTGGTATCACTCTGTCAAGCGGCTTTCTCTTTTCAAATTCCCTGATACTTTCTGGCTCCTAGAGACCCTCTTCCTTGTCCCATGGCTAGACAGTTGGGGCGTTATTTCTCTTTTGCTTTAAACTTCCACAACCACATTTGCCTTTGATGCCAAACAACAGGATGGCAGAGAAAGAAAGCCGTGGGGATTCCTTTCACACTTATGAGAACAGAAGGATTCTGCTTTGTTGGAGTTTTAGGTCCCTGTTCAGCCGCTGCTGGTATTATCACTGCCCAGGCTGCTGCCCTTGGCTTGTTTGGGGGCATAGGTCAAGTGGAAGAGGGAAAAACCCAGAAAACCCCATCTTCCTAGGGGTCCCCTTTACGGATCCTCAGGCCAAGAAGAATTCTTTTGGAGCCGTTTCTGTCTGCACTTAGTGGACAATTCTGAATTTGTACTGCCTTTGAGTCTAGGCTGAGTGGTCCCAGAGGAAACAAAACCAGGAAACTCACTTTGGGGTTATTAAAACTTCTAGTTGTGGTTTCCTGCTCCAGGCCATTGCTACCATTTTCCATCTGCTACCAGATGTTAGATAGCTGCTCCATGCATTCTGTCCAGGTTTTTAGTTGTAGTCAGCCCAAGAGACAGGACAAACTATGCTTACTCCTTTTGTTTTTTACCAGAACCAGAACATAGATACCTGTTAATATTGCTACAAATGTATTATTCATTTGTTTTGGTTAAGAATTTATTGAGCACTGGGCGCCTGGATGGCTTAGTCGTTAAGCGTCTACCTTCAGCTCAGGTCATGATCTCAGGGTCCTGGGATCGAGTCCCACGTGGGGCTCCCTGCTCAGCAGGAAGCCTGCTTCTGCCTCTCCCACTCCCCCTGCTTGTGTTCCCTCTCTCGCTGTTTCTCTCTCTGTGGAAAAATAAATAAAATCTTTAAAAAAAAAAAAAAGGATTTATTGAGCACTCATGGCATAGTAATCTTTGCTGGAAATGTAAAGATGGATATATATATATTTTTTAAGTTTTTATTTATTTATTTGACAGAGACACAGTGAGAGAGGGAACACGAGCAGGGGGAGTGGGAGAGGGAGAAGCAGGCTCCCCGCCGAGCAGGGAGCCCGATGTGGGGCTCGATCCCAGGACCCTGGGATCATGACCGAGCCAAAGGCAGACGCTTAACAACTGAGCCACCCAGGCGCCCATAATCTTTAAGTATCTCTAGTCTATAGATCCACAGTTAGGCCTGTGATATGGGGGTGGAGGCAGAAAGTAAACATAATTTCATATTATACATTAATAATAATTTAGTTATTTATCTTATCCTTTTTGATCCATTTCTACTTTAGGACTTGACATATTGTTTGTGACTAAAAGAGAGAAGAACCTGTTTATATTCCATTAATTTTCTGTTTTTCTTATTGTCCCAAAATATAAGGATGGAAGGTCTCCGGATATGTATGTGCTGGGTGAAATTAATATGTAGTTTTAGTAAGAATAAGAAATATAATTACATACATAATAAAATAAGAGGAAATAATTTATTATTATATACTTGTTTCTCAGGTCTTAGAAAAATACCCCAATACACCCATGAGTCATAAAGAAATTCTTCAAGTTATCCAGAGAGAAGGACTAAAAGAAATCAGGTGAGTTATTTAAATATTATTAGTAATAATTATAATACTTGATTAGAGTATTTCATAGTATATAGCAGTGTACATTAGTCCTGAAGATTGATGATTTAGTAATAACTGCTTTGCTAATTTCTGATTTGTTCAGTTGTCAGATCTTTAAAGTTTTCAGTCATAGCACAGTTACAAAACCACAAGTAAGTTAAAAAAAAATTCTTAGTTGTGTCCAACCCATGCACGTTAATTCTTAGGAAGGCCTGGAGCCATCTTCAAGCCTTCATCTATGAGTTCAGACTTTTGATTTAATCAGCTTGGTCATTAGCAGGTAAAAAATATTCTCTAGTACAGGGAGAATGCTAGAGGTAGACAGTCTAGAAAGACGTAACCTTGGCCAAAAGGAATCAAATGGAAAAAATACAAACAAAGCAGTATATATTTCAAGTAATAGTTTTATGTACAGCAAATAAAACAGCTTGGGGTCAATTAATACAGGACCAAAGATAAAACACACTTTAATTTCTAAGAGCCTTATATTAAGAATAGCATGTAATAGTCACTTCATGATTAAGACACTCTCCCATCAAGAAATGTTAAAATTATGGTCAACATACTTGGTATTGTTAACGTGGAAATCTGGGAGTCTACCTGAGAGATATTTTCATTAAGGTGGAAAAGGTTGTGGTGCTTTAAAACTGCTACTAGTTGTTCTCAAGTGGGGGTGGCATTGTGTAAATGCCCTTAGGGAAAGTGTTCAGAACTTAAGAGGTTATTTTTGATTTTCAAAGTGTCTAGAAAGAAGGGGAGCACTGTGGCATTTAATGTTCAGGAAACAGGGATGCTAAATGTCTCACATTGTGCCAGACAGTCCTTCACACTGAAGAACTCTTCAGCTCAGATGCCAGAGTAATAGTGAGCTATGCTGAAATATTTGTAAATGGACAATAATATGTTTTTTGATACATAGCTATTGCATGTTCTAGATTTTAATTCTCACTTTCTTTAATACAGAATTGAGGTTTTGGCCCTTTGCTAACAGCTAAAAAAATTTTGTTTTGACTTGTGGCCAAATGTGAGTAGGCTGGGAATAAATTAGCTTTGTTTTATTACTATGAAACAATGAAGTATAAATTATTATTATTTCACTTTATGTAACATATGTCTCTGAGAAATTGTGTGAACATTTGTAAATGAAAACATTGAAATGCATTTGAGGAATTAGCTTTTAAACATTTATTTATTTTTTTTTTTTTTAAGATTTATTTATTTGACAGAGACACAGTGAGAGAGGGAACACAAGCAAAGGGAGTGGGAGAAGGAGAAGCAGGCTTCCCGCAGAGCAGGGAGCCCGATGCGCGGGGCTCTATCCCAGGACGCTGGGATCATGACCTGAGCCGAAGGCAGACACTTAACGACTGAGCCACCCAGGCGCCCCGTAAACATTTTTTTTTTTTTTTTAAAGATTTTATTTATTTATTTGACGGAGAGAGACAGCGAGAGAGGGAACACAAGCAGGGGGAGTGGGAGAGAGAGAAGCAGGCCTCCCACTGAGCAGGGAGCGGGGCTCGATCTCAGGATGCTGGGATCATGACCTGAGCCGAAAGCAGACGCTTAATGACTGAGCCATCCACGCACCCCAGCTTTTAAACATTTTTGTAAATTAAAAAATTAATCACTTAATTTATCAATGATACAATTCTAAATTTTTATTTGAATTAGATAAGATTTATTAGATTAAAATTAAAGCATAATGCCTATTTTTTTACTTTTTTTAAAATTTAAATTCATTAATTTACATATAGTGTATTATTAGTTTCAGAGGTAGAGTTCAGTGATTCATCAGTCTTATGTAATACCCAGTGCTCATTATATCACATGCCCTCCTTAATGTCCATCACCCAGTTACCCCATCCCCACATAATGCATATTTAATACCACCAATTTTGCAAAGGTATAGGAGAAAAGGACAGTGATTTTTGGGGTCTGAGGAACAATTCTGCTAAGGTATTCTAATATTCTTTTATAATGCTATTGACTTATAGAATAGGATGAGCAAGAGATTTCTTTTTTTTTTTTTTCCTTAAAATTAGACTTTTGATAAGCTGGGGAAATCGACCAGGATATCTGATGTATAGAGACCAGACTCCCATCAGTCCCTTAGGTCTAAATGCCAGTCAGGGTCATCTGGCTCCAACATACTAAGGCTCTATGACTTTAAACTTGTCATTATCATTTCTAGGGAGTAGGCAAGAATAGTAAATAAGTAAAGAATAGTAAATAAATAAAGAAGGGCAAAAAGAAGAAATTTAGAAAAAGTAGCAAGATGGTAGAGTCATCAAAAATAGCTTCTGGCTTTGCTTAGTGATAACAATTTATATGTAGCTGTCCCTGGTTAAACTATATTGTTGGGATGCAGTTCTGTGACCACAAAGCAGTGCTAAGTCACCAGTGACTTCCATTTTGTTAATTCCATGGGACTTCTCGTTCTTGACTCTTTCTTCTTAGCACTATTTAACACAGTTGAATACTGTTTCCTTCTTGAAACTCTGTTTTGTTACCTGAAGTGACCACAGACATTCTTCCTTCTTCCTTCTCAGTTTTTTTGCTCATTACCTTCTAACTTAAGTGCAATTTTGTCCATCCCCATAGCTTTAAATATTATATGTTGTCCATTCTCAAATAGGTAGGGAAGCTGTTTCTCACCTCAGCCTTTGTATATGCTGCCTTCATAGCAGGGAATGTGCTTTTCTCTCAGTTCCATCTTATTTTTCAGGTGTCAGTTTGAATATGTCTTTTTCCGAGAACTTTGGCTGACTTTACGAGCTAGAGCAGATTTCAAACTCTTTTAGTGTATTATAGTGTTCTGTTTATTTCTTCATACCACTTAAGGCTTGAAATTACATATTTTTGTGATCTTAAAAACATCATACAGCTTCTCTCTAGCTTACATTAAGGTAGCTCTATGAGGGCAGTGGCTCTGCTCATTTTCCCCCTTCTCTTTTGTGCTTGAAAACCTACTTGTTAATGCATATATGAAGTATCAGGTGTTGGAAGATTATATTCAGATGTAGTTACAGCTTATTCTCTTTCTGCAGTGTTGTGTTCAATGATAGTCTTATAAACTTTAAAGGTTTTAGACAGGTTACAGAATGAAATACATAATTTCTTTATTGAAGATATGCTACTTCTTAAAGTTAATTTTCATTCTTCAGTCCTTAGTACATGGCTCTCAATTCTTTTTTCCCTTTGTAGTTTTCCCTGTGTGCCCCATTCTGAAGAAGCTCTCTTAATTTTGATTATTCCATATTATATTATTTTATTTTTAAAATACATTAAAGTGGAAACAGCCCAAATGTCCATCAAAAGATGAGTGGATAAATAAAGTGTAGTGTATACATTCAGTGGAATATTATTCACCCGTAATAAGATTTGGAATTCTGATACATGCTGTGTGGATGAACCTGAAAAACATGCTAAGTGAAATAAGACAGAAACAAAAGGACAAATAGTGATGTGGCAACAGAAGAAAAAAAAGGACAAATACTCTACAGTTCCATTTATATGAGATACTTAGAACAGGCAAACTCAGTAGAGACAGAAAGTAGAATAGAGGTTACCAGGGGCTGAGAGTAGGGAAGAATAGAGAGTTACTGTTTAAATTAGCACAGAGTTTTTTTGGGGGATGATGAAAAAGTTCTGGAAATGGGCAGTGGTAATGGTTGCACAACATTGTGAGTGTACTCAGTGCTGCTGAAATCTATACTTACAAATGGTTCAGATGGTAACGTGCATGTTGCGTATATTTTGCCACAACCAACCCACAAAAAAATTATTAAAAATGAAGTGATTGGCTCCTAGCTGAGAAAGAGTGAGGTACTAGTCCCTTTAAGAACTTAAAAGGGTTTTTCGGAGACATTTTCTACAGTCTTTGAGCTATACAGTTTTATAAGAATCAGGGTCTGGTCAGCAGACAAAAGCTACGTGGTAATTTGAACAGGGAAGTTATTCAGTTAACTGGTTAAGTTATTAATTGGTTAACCAGAAATTAACTATTTAAAGGGAGCAACCAGTACCTGTAGGGCTGAGGCAATGTGCCCTAAGAAAGAGTAACTTTCAAGATCTCCCTCTATGTCCCTAGGTTGCGATTCAGATCTTAATGGAGTAGGTGGGGCTCTGGTCCAATGGATGACAAAGTTCACTGGTGCTGTAGCCTGGGCTGGCAAATAGGAAACTGCCTACTGGGTATTAGTAGAACTTGCTGGAAAACTTCCTGCTGGGCACCTGTCCCACATTCACTGGGGAGCCAGCTGAGGCACTAGCAGAATTTTCTGGGAAGCCACCCATAGTCATTCTGCTGAACCTTGCTGAAGGTTGGGTGCCATTGAGTGTCCCTCATGTTGCTGGGTGCTGCCTGCCATGAGAGCAGGCAGGCAAGGGCACAGTAAAACCAGAAAGAAAAGCCCCCTTTCATTCTGCAGCGTTCTTCCGGCGCTCACAAAACTTAACATCGAGCCAGCTGGCAAAGGAGAAGTGTTTATAGGGTCCAGCTCCGCTACCACAGAGAAAGACAAAGAAGGTTGGATTTGGAACTGAAAGTCAATAAATTGATAACTAGCACAGCAGCCTTCAGTAGTTTTTCAGTAGAATAATTGAGATCATTGTCTGGCCCCACACACCACTTTGGTTCACTTGATTTGTTTCCATCTGCACTCTAGCTAAACAGATACATGGCTGTTCTCTGTATGGGATCTAAGATTTCTCACCTTAGGACATCAATCTTTTATCTTCACTTTTTTATGAAAACATCTTGATAGTCTTTCAAAATCAACTCATATGTTTTTTTCTTATTTAGCCTGTTCATCTGGTGGATTATTGGGGTTGATTTTTTTTTTTTTTTTTTAAAGATTTGAGAGAGAGCACAAGCGGGGGGGAGAGGCAGAGGGAGAGGGAGAAGCATAATCGCCACTGAGCTGGGAGTCCTATCTAGGGCTCGATTCCAGGACCTGGAGATCATGACC